TTTTTGCCTTTTCTTTTTGTTTTGTTTTTTTCTCCCACCGGTGTGGGCAGGTATTGTTCAAGATTATTACTTGTATTAATATTTTTTAAATAATAAGTACAGTCAAATGAAAATGGATATATAATAATGTTTGAGGTAATATGAGTTATGTTTGTTGATTGTGGAGGATCTGTAATCGATTGATACATTTTCTACAGATGTAAAGAAAGATGCTGTACTTGTTTTAATTAAAATTAAAAAAAATATTTATTAAAAAAAAACACAGCACACGGAGAGTGGCAAACCTACTCTCAACCGCACGCGCATGGAATTAAAGACAATTAGTGATGATCGCAGCAATAGTGTTCCCCTCGGCCACTAGAGCCCTGGGGAAGATTGCGAAACGTGCTGAATGGCTTGCAGGCTGATAGTGAACTGTCGCCCATTCATCCAGCCAGACACAGATCCGTGCTTGGTTTCTTCTCTAAATGAGTTAAATAATAGAGCGATGAATCCAGAAGAATGAGGTAATTTCTTTATTAGTCCTAGAGCAAATTGTGTTACGTCTCTTTAGGCTGGACTGAGTTAAAAAACTTAACCATCCAGTCAGAGGAGGCGTGGTCAACAATTACGTAACTCAGTCTCTAGGCTAATGGACAAAGTTAACCCATGCTTGGATTCCCCAAGCAGTGCACAGGAGAATCTTGTAGTACTTTTTATTAACTAGCAATTGGTTTGTTTGTTTGCTTAGCACATTTATGTGGCAGCCCATCTCAAACAAAGTGACACCAAACTTATAGAATTTGTTTCTTTTCAATTGTGCGGCTTATCTCATCCAATTGGTATATGAAGGCAATCAATTATAGCAGAACCAGGCCACATGCCACACGCCAACCATTTTCAATACCTCATCATCAGCTCACTTCCCAATTGCAGGGGACACAATTGTGAAATGTTCAGAACATTGAGTTCTGAAAGGAGCAAAATTTAGGTTTTGGGCACAGCTGTTAACACCTGTAAATGTCCAAAACAAGTCCTTCAAATCACTAAGACTCCAACCTGTAAAAAACTCACCCAACATTTCTCAGGTACAACCAGTTAGATCACATCCTGAGGAGATGATTTTTTTTGGCCAAGCCCTACTCTTTGCCATATTTTGGCAAGATGCTGCCCATTGCCTTCTCCCCTATATGCAATGCATAAAGACTATAAAGAAAATCCAATCACTTACCTATAATGTTGCATGAGTAGGCACTTGTGCTTTCTTGGGTTGCCATGAAGATACAGTGGTGCTGCTGCAACTAAAGTGCTTCAGAGTGTCATGTACATTTTGCAGACATTAAAGTTTATTTATGGCGGTGACAACAATGTGCTCCTGTCTTCACTCTTTTTCACGATCAGAATATAATATCTTGCTCTGCTGCGGCTGGGGCTCTGCTGTTGTGGCCAACAGAGTGTTTCTGTTCTCCCTCTCAGAGGTAACAGTATTGATTACCTAGAGTTTCGCCTCTGGATCGGCTTACACTCAGCGGCCCAGTGCCTTATTCTGGTGGTTACAGATGCCAGCTTCATAATTAAGTACATCACTCGCTTCACTGAAGAAGGCTTCTCCACTCTGATCAGCTTCATATTCATCTATGATGCGGTTAAAAAGATGATTGGAGCCTTTAAGGTCTACCCTATCAATATCAACTACAATCCAGACTATGTGACTATGTATAAATGTGAATGCATAGCTCCAGATGCAGGTAAGTGCAAATCCTGTGTCCCATTGCAAAGTCATTGCATTCCCCTTTATAGTGGAGCAGTGTTTCATGCTTGATATGATGAACTTTTTAAAATGTCTTCCAAAGATTTCTGAAAGTTCTTTGCAAATGCAAGTTAATATCATTTATTCTGTCTGAAATTGGAAATAGCTCAGCCAGCAAAACTTTAATCAAATGTTTGTCAGTGTATGACAAGAGTTCCCTCTGTTGTCAAGGTTGTATTGTAAATTTATGCTGAAGTGGTTAGTCTCATGACATTTCTCTATAGTGCTGTCCTTCCTGGCCAGAAAAAGTGTAAATAAATCACAAGAGGGAATGGAAGTTACTGAAAATTTACTGTGCCAGAACCATTTTACTGAGAAACCTGAAGTCTGTTCTGACACAATACATTTCAGTGTTGTGGGGTGTTTCTTGCAGCAAAATTCACTGTAGGCAATTCACACCCATTATCAGTCCCTGACTGTGAGGCTGATGCATTCCCATCTCCAAGCATCAGAGCTGGTGTGGGACGCTCCCAGTGTCTCGTAAATATAGGACAGGCCAGTGTCTGAATGGGAACCAGATTATAGAAGATACACTTTTATTTGTTTTATCCAAAATAGTAAAAAGCCCGCTACTATCTTACGCTGAATTAAAAATTAAAAAATACTGTTATATATACACAGAAGTTTCCAAGTCAAAGGAATGCCAGATATGGAAAACATTTTCTCTACCAAGAAGAATTCTCTACTAATTTTAAAAGTGTAAACTTTTCTTTAAAAATATTTCTAAAGTTGATGAATTCTAATTAAGCTTTTAAAACTTCCTTTTAACAGACATACATTCAAATTCACTCAATAATATTTTACAAGCTTTAGATAATAAGCATTATATATACAAGAAAGAGAAAAGAAACCCATTTTCAAACCTACCTTAGGGACACAAAACTATACATTAGAGCCCTGGTTCTTAGAATGCAGTATGACAATCAAACTCTGTCCTCAGCCTGGAATTCAATCCTGACAGGGCTCAAGGTTGACTCAACTTTCCATCTTTCTGTTAAAATGAGGATCCAGATTGTTGGGGACAAGATGTTGACATTTTAAACCACCCAGAGATTGGGCAGTATACAAGTCAAAATGCTATTTCTATTGCTACCTCTTTTTACTACATATATCAGAACATTAAAAATCCATCCCAACTCTAACTAGCGCTTTAAGTTTAAGTCACTCCCTCCAACTTGTTCTCAATCTTTTTCTTCTCTGCAATATCTATCGATAAATTATAAACTTTCTCAAGGGATTCTCAGTCTTGTTTGTTCTCTTGAGAAGTGTAGATTTATTTGGAACTCTTCTTTCAATTGTACTGGAAGGCTTGTATTTAAAGCATCATCATAATAGAGATTGGTGTCAGATTTATATTCTAAAATTACAGTTAAGTCCTTTGCATTGTCAGATACTTATGAAATGGTCTCAGTGGTTTAGATATGATATTGTTGCAATTACAGAAACTTGGTGGGATGAAACTCACAAATTGAAGATACAGCTAGAGGAATTAAAATTGTTTAAAAAAAACAAACCAAATAAAATATGAGGTGGAGTTGCACTATATATAAGAAATAAATATGGCAATGCATAAAAGGGGGAAAATGACATTTCCATAGATGTATATTACCGTATAGGCTACCCAACCAGAGGAAATAGACGAACTTTTTGCTAGTCAGTTAACTAAGGTATGTAGGAAGCACATCATAATATTAATGGGAGACTTTAACTAACCTGATATCAACTGGGAAACAAACTGTGCACCAAGTGGAAGTTCAAAGTGGTTCCTGATAAACCAAGCAGACAACTTTGTCTTTCTAAAAGGTAGAGAAGGGGACTAGGAGATCAGCCATATTGGTCTTAATTTTCACTAACAGAGATGAAATGATAGATGTTGAAGCTACAGGAACCTTGACGGAGAGTAATCATGCAATATTGCAGTTCAACATTATGCAAGCCTAAGCAATAGAACAAAGTCAAACTAGAGTCTTGGACTTTAAGAAAGCTAATTTCAATAAACTTAGAGAGAAGGATTCCATGGATGAGAATCCTCAAGGGGAAAACAACCCAAGAATCTTGGCAAACTTTGAAAATTGAAATTATAAAAGCCCAATCTAGCACAATACCAACGAAGAAGAAAAATTACAGCTCTCAAATAAAATGGTCTTATGCACATGGCGGCATAAAGAACTCTCTGATAAATTGAAAGAGAAAAAGGACAATATAAAAAGTGGAAAGAGGGCACATAACTAAGACAGAATATCAGCAAATAGCCCAAGCCTGCAAAGATGAAGTGAGAAAAGCTAAGGCTCAAAATGAATTAATGCTTGTGACAAGTCAAAAATAACCCCCCAAAAGAGTGTCTTTCAAGATATAAAAATCAAGATAACAGTCAAGGAAATGATTGGGCCATGAGTGAGAGAAAGTGGCAAGAAGGTGACAAGCAACAGGGAGAAAGCAGAACTGATTAACTTGTTTTTTGCATTTGTCTTTACACAAAAGGAAAAAACAATTCAACCCATCAAAAACAATACCGTAAAAACAGATTAGGAATACAAATTAAAATAAGCAAGACAATGGTAAACGAGCACCTGTCCACCCTAGACAAGTTCAAATCACAGGACCAGATGGATTATACCCCAAGGTTCTGAAGGACCTGGCAGATGTCATCTCAGAACCACTGAACCGTATCTTCCAAAGATCCTGGAGCACCAAGGAACTACCAGAGGACTGGAAAAGAGCTACCTGTGGTTTCCATCTTCAAAAAAGGAAGAAAAAAAATAGATGCAGGAAACTAAAGGCCTATCAGCCTGATAAAATGACAAAATTAGTGGTCCAGAGGAATGCTGTGGATATAATTTACTTGGATTTCAGTAAGGCATTTTATAAAATAGACCACAACCTACTACTTGATAAGATAGAAAAATGTGGATTAGACAGCATCACCAGCAATTGGCTGACCAACCTCACTTAACAGGTAATCCTCAACAGAACTAAATTTTAATTAAAAAATTTAGTTTCTGCATGTTTCCATAGAAATAAAAAAAATCAGGAGGATAAATATACACATTACACAAGCAGGGAAAATAAAATCAGCAAATTTTATTCTTCTTTCAACTCAGTTCATAAAACTAAAACTGAATGAATTGAGCCTTGGGTGCCAAGTGATCTGAATACAGCAAAAGATCTGCAAGTTGGAGTCTGCATCTCAACTTTAGGCCTTTTAATGGGGCCTTTTGACCACATGCTGCCAAGAAGATTCTCTGTTTCAGTGTAGTATGTGAAAGTAACCTTTATCATTTTTTGGACTACTAAGATCCTTTCTTATCCTCTTATTCTTGTGAGTCAGCAAGTGAAACAGAAGGGGAATCTTGATCCCCATACCATAATAATGAAGGGAGTGCAAATGTATGAAACAAACAAGCAATGTGCAAACAGAGAATGTGTTATTTCTAAAATGATTCGTATCCATTGGGAAAGTTGTTAGTCAACTTATTAGTAAAAGCTGTTATAACAGAATACGACTAACCGAATAAAGCAACACTGTCAAGTATAACAAAGTGCATTTTTAAAAAGTCAGTTAAACGGCAGCCAAAATATAAAATGTGACTGACAAGCCCCTATCCTCCTAGAAAAACCAAATGGACATGCCAGGAGTATAAACATGCCTGCTCTGATTAGGACACCCCCCCAACACCTCCCTCCTTTTATCACCTGTTTTCCAAGGTGGTTGCCCAAAGTAAACAGGTGATCTCTTGCCTATTCGTGTTAGTCCGTTTGTGCATAATATGTTCTGATAATCCCTCTCTCTCATATCATGTATCTATCTATCTATCTATCTATCTATCTATCTATCTATCTATCTATCTATCTATCTATCTATCATCTATCTATCTATCTATCTATCTATCTNATCTATCTATCTATCTATCTATCTATCTATCTTATCCATCCATCCATCCTTCCATCTATCTATCTATGTCACTGTATTGGTGTCTGTCTAAACTCTGGTTGCAGCTCAGTATATGTAGTTATGGAAGTGTCTTTCAAAGGAGGTTTGTAGACCCAAAGTAAAGAGGCTACAACATATTTTGCATGCCAAACAGCAGGTGATATTTTGTCAGGAATTCCTGTGGTCTGGACATGTGTGCTCAATGGCTGTGAAGAACCCAGAACTAGTCTCTGAAATGCTCTATCTTTAATAGCTTCTATGCTTTAGCTTCTATCTGGATGAAAATAGCTGTAATGTTTTCTATCCTCTATTTCAGCTGTTTAAAACTGAATCCCATTTAAGTTTCTCACCTTTCCGTAAGTGGCATTCAGAGTGGGGAATAAAAAGGTCTTGATGTAGCCTCAGTATCAGATTGAAGCTCTGCTCCTTTGTACATGTTTGTATTGACCCACAAAAGGGGCGGCTGTTATTGTGCTACTGCACCGATTTTCTCAATCTCCCTCCTAGATGCCACTGGGGAGTATCCGTAATAGTCTTTTAAGACCTCTTAATTTTTTTATTACTCTTATTTTTGCAAATCAACGTTTTGGATTACTGTAACTTATTTATACCATATTTGTCTCTGCTGCACCCTTCTATTTGGCTGGTTTCATTCTCAAGTGAGTATCATTTTATAAATATTAAGATTATTAAATATTTGATACTCTTATTTTTTTAATTATTGTTATTTCTACTTTAGCATACACAATCTGCATAAAGCATTAAATCAGCCTTTTAAAAAAGCATTGTTCATCCGGTACAAGGTCTAATTATTTTACACTTGAAGTTATTAGTGAAGGCCACCCTAATAGGTCTATTTTTGGAAAAGCTTCTGGTTGTAGGGAGAAGCAACGTTAAAAAAAAACCTGGAATCAATAGCAAGAATTATTCCACTTTTGTCCAATTCTTCCTATTTTTCCTCTGAAATTCAGTACCTTCTCTGCAGCAAGAAATCCGACTCTAACCCAACAACTGCTTCTCCTTCATTAATTATGTGGACATTGTTTGCCTCCAGAAAAAAATGATTAAATCAATTGTCACAGCCTAACCTATTGGCATCAAAAGGGAAATTCAATACAACTTCTGCAGATAAGTCAAAACCTGTTTAGTCTGATGAAAGATTCTTTCCAAACTGTCAACTGGCAAAGCTTTCCTGACCTGCTCCAAGTTGCCATAGGCAGAGGGCAGTGTCAAGCACTGGTTTTCCGTTTATTTACTCTACTTTATTTGTTAAACAAATTTATCCCCCAGGCCTGCTGACAAACCCATGTCTTTGAGACCTTGTGAAAAGCAACAAGATGGGTGCCAGTCTTATCACTGGGGAAGAAGGCTCTTTTTCGAGGTCCCACCAAGTGCCATGCCCTGGATAGCTGAGACCCACAACGTGCCCTGCCTTCCTGGCCAGCATGACCATTCCCTAAGCTCCTTAAACTGGGGGACTTATTCTCAGCCCCCTCAAAGAAAAAGGGAGCCTGCCCAAGAGAGGCTTCTGGCTGCTTTTGCTTTTGTGTCTCTCAGGCCAGGGTCCCCCCTACAGAGCAACAACAGTCCAGACAAACGACCTGGATAAATCCAGAGGTTCCCTGTGCAACTCACACTAGCCAAACCAACTTTTATTACCCTTCTGGAAGGCCAAAAGGATGGGAGTAGTTCTCACCTTTGGTGGTAGAGTGTTCCACAAGGTAGGGACCACAGTGAAGAATTCCTCAGCGGATGGGATCTGTAGCCTCTTCCGCTGGCCTGAGTGGGATGAAGTAATCCCATTTGTGTGAGATGGCTCCTCAGATACCCTGACTGCCTAGGGCTAGTATAAAGGTAACAATCAACACCATGAATTGAACCCAGAAGCAAAGTGGTATGCAGCTTGCAAAACAGCAGGGGTCTTTGTGCCACCCTAGAGGCCCCAGGACTGTGCATGCCACTGTACTAGACACCAGCTGTAGCTCCCACATGCTCTTCAAGAGCAGCCCCTTGTAGAGCATGTTGCAGTAATTCATCCGAGGGATGACTAAGGCACGAGTGGCTGCATGCAGAGCCTCACCAGTAAAGGAACAACTGGTGTACAACATGAACAAAGACCTAGCCATGACCACCACCTGCTCTTCAGGCAGGAGAAACCACAGGTTGCATACTGGGTCTGTCTAGGGTAGTGCAGCCCCGTCCAGAATGGTGTTTCAAAACAGTAGATACTATTGTGCTTTTCCTTTTAGCGATTCTGTACTATGGCTTAATATGGAGTGTCTATGTGCATGTCACATGAAATGTGTCCTGCTTGCTCCACTTTTGATCTTTTTCTAGAAAAAGCTAGAGACAGCAGATGAAGAATTAGAAAATGTATCCAGGGTTTTTTGTTTTTATGTCAGTGCGGAGAGTTATGATCAGTGACCTCCAAATCCAAGAGACATGCACATTTCTGTGAGCTGAGGGCAGAGAGAAGAGTTAGCCAGACCTTACTAGTGAGGAAGTTAGTGGGGCTTTCATCATGCAAATGAAAGGTTGGCACTTTCAGAGCCAAAGGTGGTGCAGTGGTTAAATGCAGCACTGCAGGCTACTTCAGCTGACTGCAGTTCTGCAGTTCGGCTGTTCAAATCTCACTGGCTCAGGGTTGACTCAGCCTTCCATCCTTCCGAGGTTGGTAAAATGAGGACCCGGATTGTTGTTGGGGGCAATATGCTGACTCTGTAAACCGCTTAGAGAGGGCTGAAAGCCCTATGAAGTGGCATATAAGTCTAACTGCTATTGCTATTGCTACTTTCTGCCTTCCCTGTAAAGCAGCTCTGAGCAAGGCCCAGGCCTTTAGAGGTTATATTCAGGCAATGGAAAGTAAGCAAGGACTCTTGTCCATGTTAAAAATAATAAGCACAACACCCAGTGATGAGACCTGAAGGGGTCCTTGTGCTATTCAGGTGGCACCACCGAATGATCCACCTCAGAACTCTGTGACCAGAGAGAGAATCTCCATCAACTAGGATTAGGTCACACTGGTGTAGGTTGAGGTGTCTCTATATTACTGTATAGTGGGTTTTGATTGTCACCAAAAATATCAGGAGAAGAAAGTATTATGCAGGAAGGATCCACCCTAGCTATGAATTCTGTCCTTGGATTAAATTGGAATCCGCTCCTGACACATATCAACATTTTAGGTATGCTCAGGCATAAGGGAAGATACCTGTTTGGGGTATGTTCCAAAGCATTTTCTGTGCCTCCAGAATGCCTCCTCCTCCTCCTCCTCCTCCTCCTTGCTTTCTGGGATCCCAGTTGAAAGAGAGAAACATCTTAGGTTAATTAGGGAGATGTTTCTGCAGAAATTAGTATCAGAACAACATTGTAGCTTATCGAAGTGTTCATATAAGCAGCTGTTTATTTACAAGCAGTGGGGATGTAATTCTTTTCATTGGATTACAAGCTCAAAGAGTTCTGTAAATACTTGCAACAGTGGTTTTCTGGATGGTTGGATGGTGAGATGGTGACCAAAACGAAGCCGATGAGACCTCTGTAATAGGTGTAGCCAAATATATGGATTTTGGTTCTGCTTTAACACTAAAAGAGAATTTTTCAAAAAGTTCAAACGAAAAATATGATGGTGTATTATGGAGTAATATTTTTTCTTAATATATTTTTTAATAATTACAAACTCCTTTTTTGCAGCAAATACAACATTGTTCAATGCTTCAGTTCCATTGGTACCAAACAATGTTAATATTTCTATGGTAAGTTTTTTCTGTCTTTTCTTCCCACCCACCAATCCAAAATGCTGTGTATATCTTCGTTTAGCATTATAACTGCAAGAGCAAAAACTGATTACAGTACCTCTCTTTCAGGGGTGAAATTCAGCATGTTCTGACAGGTTCTGGAAAATGGTAGCAAAACTTTTTAGTTTGGAGAACCTGCAAATGCCACCTCTGGCTAGCCCCAGAGTGGGGAGGGAATGGGGATTTTGCCATATCCTTCCCCAGAAGTGGGGAGGGAATGGAGATTTTGCAGTGTCCTTCCCCTGCCACACTCACCAAGCCACACCCACAGAACCAGTAGTAAAAAAAAATGAATTTCACCACTGCTCTCTTTTCTCATCAGTGTTGGGTGGCAGCTTAAATGAGTCCTAGGCCTGAAATGTTGGTCCATCTCTGATCTAACCTGCCCAAAGAGGCTTCAAGCAACATCAGTTAAAACTTCTTAAAGCTGTGAGAACAATTCTTTGCTCCAGTGATCAATCTTGACCGTTTAATGGCAATGATCAGAATTGTTTCTCATCCATTTCCTGATAAGTATACTTAAATTGGCACGTTTGGAAACCCCCTTCTATGCCAAACACACATTGTTTGCTATCCCTAACAGAGACCTGCCAGATTCATAATTTGTATCTCCATCTACAGGAGTCTATAGAGCAATTGTTCAACTGATCAAGGCCAGCAATCAAGTATCATGATTCCCCTTTCAAATTTGATACCCAATCGTCAGGTGTCTTCTGGAAAATGCACAGGGCTCCAATTCTTATATAAGGGCTGGAAGTAAACTGCATTGAATGCAAGAGGACTTGAGAATACATACCTATGGGATTGTGTTATGGGGGCTTATAAATTCCAAATTACCAGGCTGAGTCCTGGCTCTTACTGCCAGTTGGTGATTGTTTTTGCATTCACTGGGTGGATTCTTGGATCTTTGGCTTAGAACCTCCAAAACATTGAGATTACTCGGATCAATTGCATTCCTTTAAAAGAGTCCAATTTGTTCCAGAGTTGAAAATTAATTTTGCTAATCTTGAGAAGAATTTTACAAAAATTTCCAGAGACATTAACAATCACAGCTTAAAATTACAAAATAGGTACTTTTAAACATAAAATCTACTTTTAAAAGATGTCTTCTATCTGCCCCATTATCCTTTTTTGGAGGGGAAAATAACCTATGGGAAGCACTCTCTTCATCTTAACAATGCTATCACCAGCTATGATTTTGGCTGTTTTAAAAATATATATAATATGTGTGTAATATGGAGATATATAAATACATATATGCAGGAGTCTGGTCTAGTGAAAAGGAGGAGTAGGGGTGACATGATAGCAGGGTTCCAATATTTGAGGGATTGTCACAAAGAAAATGGGGTCAACTTATTTTCCAAAGCACCAGAGGACAAGACAAGAAGAAATGGATGGAAACTAATCAAGAAGAGAAGCAACATGGAATTAAGGAGAAACTTCCTAACAGTGAGAACAATTAACCAATGGAATCTCTTGCCTTCAGAAGTTGTGGGGTTCCTATCACTGGAGGCTTTTAAGAAGAAATTGGACTAGAAGAACTTAGAAGTCCCTTCAAACTCTATTATTCTGTTATATATAATATTTAAAAGAATTAGCAGGCTTGTATCTCTTGTATGTGTAGGAGTTAACTTACTTGTTAGTTTTATTCTTCAGTACCTGAATAATATGGTTTATTTTCTTATCCTTCAAGTATAATCCTATTAATGTAACAGTTCTGGACTGGACTCAGTTGAGCAAAAAGGAATGCCTGAAATATGGAGGAAGTCTGGTGGGGACGTCTTGTAAATTTGTCCCCGATTTGGCCCTCATGTCTTTCATTCTCTTCTTTGGAACATATTCCATGACTCTGACTCTGAAAAAGTTCAAGTTTAGTCGCTATTTTCCAACCAAGGTAAGATTCTCCAAACGATGTCTTGGGTGTCAGCTGTTCAAAAAAGGTCTTCCTCTCCCAGAAGACATAAAATAATATTCCGTAGTGCCCTATAACTTGTTCTTTTTTTCCCCTTTCAACCCTCCACTTTTAGGTCAGGAGCCTAATTGCTGACTTTTCCATTGTCTTCTCCATCTTGTTCTTCTGTGGAATAGATTTTTGTTTTGGACTGGATACTCCCAAGTTGCATGTGCCCAGTATCATTAAGGTTTGGATAACCAACTAGGTTTTGACACACCCTTTCCTCTCTCTGCTCCGGTCTCCTGTTCCTTGAATTGCTTTCTCTAGTAGCTTCAGCTTTCTACAGCCTCAAGGTCCTACTTGAAAGTGAACTGGGGGAAGTGGGGAATGAATGCACTGTTGGGTCCAGGAGGTTCAAAAACTGTCAGGCCTGAGGCCAAGGGGAGAAACTGGCCTGTGTCTCTGCAAATTGCGACAGCAGAGCTGGGCTTTTTCTGGGTTGTGGCAGTATTTCTGGAGCCATTCCCAAGGAGGCCGTGTTTCCTCCCCCCCCCCCTTGCTTTCCCCTGAAGGGGAGCATAAAGAAGTTCATGGTTCTAATTTCACAGCCAAGTCAGAGGAGGCTCTGGTGGTATCAAATACCTACTAGGGCTGGACTGAAAGTAGTGTTGGTAAAAGGTTGCTCCGTGTTTCTCTCTGACGGCAAAAGGATTGCATGTAGCTCTTTTCTTCTCCAGCTGACATTCTAACATAGCTATTTCTCGTACACATGTGTTTTCTCTCCTTCTTTCTAGTTCCGTAAACTTATTAGTGACTTCTCTATCTTCATGTCCATACTAATGTTTGTTGGTCTTGATGTTTTGTGTGGGCTGAACACTCCAAAACTGCAAGTGCCTACAGAATTTAAGGTAAATAACTGAATGCTACACCTTAGCTAAAAAAGGCTCCAATCTGCTTCACGTGGGCAAAGGCCTGGCTGTGCAGTATGGTATATGGGTTTCTGAACAATGCATTGTTTTGGAGTGATCCATCTTTCACTGGTTGCCTTAGGAAACATTCCTCTTGAGGCATTAGGGCTTTTCGTGTCAAAAACGTTAAAGGAAGAGAGAAATTCTGCCCGTGGTAGAATGTGTGTTCTGAGCTGTGTATAGCTGAGGCCCCCAAACTTGGCCACTTTAAGACTTGTGGACTTCAACTCCCAGAATTCCCTGGCTGGAGATTCTCCCAGAGAATTATGGGAGTTGAAGTCCACAAGCCTTAAAGTGGCCAAGTTTGAAGACCTCTGGCTTAGGAGCTAGTTGAGGATAGGAGCCGGCACATAAGAGGGAGCATAAAACCTCCTTATTGTGTGAGTCTCTTGGGTAACCTGCTCTTTCTGAATTCTACTTCTAGCCCACCCGCCTCGATCGAGGGTGGTTTGTGTTCCCCTTTGGAAAAAATCCTTGGTGGGTCTACTTGGCAAGTGCACTTCCGGCTCTTTTGGTCACTATCCTGATCTTCATGGATCAGCAAATTACAGCCGTGATTGTGAACAGGAAGGAACACAAGCTGAAGGTATGTTTTTTCTTCTGTCTTCTTGCACACTACTATTGTGAATTGGAACACAAAGAAAGGTGGGATGCTGATCAACCCCATTTCTATCATGTTGGGCAAGGATCCAGACCTGAGGCAAAAGAGTTGGCATGATGTAGAAAGATCAGCTGAAACAGAGTCCAATTGGGTTAATTTTAACATCAGTTGGCTTTCTATGGCATGTTGTATTGATTGGATATAATAGCTTACCAACATATTGTGCACACCAAGGAAATGTTTTAATTTTGTTTGTTACTTTGCCTCTTCAGCTAGACAATCACCATTGGCAGAGCTAATTAATGAGTTCTCAGAAGAGTTTTCCTCATTCCTTCTGCTTCCCTTCATATTATGATAGGTTGTGTATTTGAGTCACATCCCTGCATGTCCCAAATGGCCAATACAAATAAATTTGGAAGTATATTTCTGGTATAGTGATTTTGGGTTTGGAGAAAGAAAAACTTCAGCACACTTTACAGCTCTCAAAGTCAGTGTTTTTGCCTCGGTTTCCCCTGTTTTCACACTGCCTTTCCCTCTTTGTTTTAGAAAGCCGCAGGCTACCATTTGGACTTGTTCTGGGTTGGAGTCCTCTTGGCAGTGTGTTCATTCATGGGGCTACCCTGGTATGTGGCAGCCACTGTAATTTCCATAGCACACATTGATAGTTTGAAGATGGAGACAGAGACCAGTGCGCCAGGAGAACAACCGCAGTTCCTAGGAGTGAGGTGAGAGTTTCTTGGAAGCCACTGAAAAAGTTTCTCTCACCTGTGTCAAGGATGCAATGACGATGGGATGATGGGCAAAGAGTTGAGCAGTCTTCTAGAGCTGCAGCAATTTGAATATCAGGGCCATTAAACAAACATGACTGGGGAATTCTGAGAGCAGATGATCCCACTGGATCCCCCCTTCTAATGCCTTGCCCTGTCAGCGTTGGTGGGGGTGGTCTTAGAGGTTCCTTGGTTGGGCTGTTTACAGTATGCTTGGCAGTTCCTTGATTGGGGTATTATTTACTTCTGGATTGTTGGTCCGGTGTTAATCTTGGTGTTAATCTGTGCTCATCCGAATGTTGATTGCTATTGGAGAGATGTTTAGAGCTTTTTGGCTTGTTGATTGTCTCATTTGCATAGTTTGTAGATATTATTTATGTCCACGTGTCTATTGATAGCCAATTTGTCACCCTGCCAGGCTTCTAAAAATTCCTTGGCATTGTTGGAGTGGGCCCGATCTAGGATGGTCCCAGTTTCATAATTGAAACTATGGCAAAGTCTGTCTATGTGAAGCAGTCACTGAATGGGTATTGTTACGGCCCAACTGCCTGGAGACTGAGGTAAATCTGAGGACACTCCCTCTGTTCCTCCTTGTGACTCTCCAGATAAACCGATGGTTCGGAAGAAGAAAAACCTGGAAGGGAAGAGACAGAGAAACAACAACAGCTTCCCTTCCTGGACCCCGGGTGATCTGTAGTTGCCTACTCAGGCCCGGCACTGGCGCCTGAAGGCTGGAAAGTGACTGCTCCCACACCAACCTTAAGACATACAGTTCAGGTAGGACAAACTGACAGTCTCCGAGGTGTGGTGTCACTGAATGGGACATACCAAAGCTAGATGTCCATGGGAGGGATCATTGGGCCTGAGTGTCCAAGACACCCTGAAGGACCCACCTCCCAAAGGATGCCTCGGCTGGCATACGTATCTAGCCGGTAGTGTCTGATGAAGGGCAAAGGAGAGGACCAGGCGGCAGCCCTGCAGATGTCCTTGATGGGTGCCTGGGTGGCCCAGACCGCTGAAATGGCAGTGCTTCTAGTGGAATGAGCCGTGATGTCCTGTGGGATAGATAGGCCTCGGGCCTCGTAAGCCTTGGAAATGGCTAACCTAATCCACATGCTGATGGTGGTAGGGGAGACCTTGGCGCCCCGGGATGAGGGGTGGAAGGAGACAAAGAGGGCCTCCGACCATCTGAAGGGGGCTGTGTGCTTGAGATAGATGCGCAGAAGTCCGGGAGGATAACCTCCTGACCCCTGTGGAAGGGGGAATTGACCTTGGGCATGAAGGCCGGGTTAAGCCTGAGTACAACCCTGTTGCTGTGGAAGGTGCAGAGGTCAGCCATAGAGGACAGAGCATTAAGCTCGGACACCCTTCTGGCAGAGGTGATTGCCACGAGGAAGATCACCTTGAGAGTGAGGAGTTGAAGGCTAACCTCCCTAAGGGGTTCGAAGGGCGGCTCCAGGAGAGCCTGGAGAACCGTGGGCAGGTCCCAGGAGGGGAACCGGTGGACCACCGGAGGCCGAAGGTTGGCCGCCCCCTTGAGGAATCTTTTAATGACTGGAACCTGGGGCAGGGACTGGGAGCCCTCCCCCCGGAGGATAGTGGCTAGAGCAGATACCTGTCTGCGGAGGGTCTTGGGAGCCAAATCTTTAGCCAGCCCATCCTGAAAGAAGTCCAGTACTTGAGGGACGGAGGCTGCTGAAGGCTCTACCTGTTTGGTTTGGCACCAGGTGGCGAAGGCAGTCCACGTCGCGTCATAAATGCAGGTGGTGGATCTCCTCCTAGAAGCCTCAAGGGTATTGATAACTCTACAGGAGATCTGCGCTACTCTCAATTGCTCCCGCTCAAGTACCAAGCGGTCAGATTGAGCCATTCTGGGTCTGGGTGGATCAGACTCCCCTGGCACAGCTCCATCTCCTCCTGTGGCCAAGGAGGACGAACCAACAATTCCACAAGATCCGCGAACCAGGGTCATTATGGTCAGTGAGGGGCTACTAGAATGATCTCTGCCCTCTCTACCACTAGCTTCCTCACAACCCCGGGGACGAGAGGGAGCAGAGGGAAGGCGTACAGAAGACCTGCCAGCCATCTGCAGCGTAGGGAATCGGTGTTCACTGACCTCCGGGTTGGGAACCGCGATATGAAACTCGGAACCTGAGCATTTGATGGAGAGGTGAAGAGATCCACTGTTGGATGGCCGAACCTCTGGCAGATCTGTGTGAAGATGCTGGGATGAAATTGCCACTCCCCATGGTCTACCGGCTCCCTGCTGAGCCAGTCCGCCTGCTGGTTCTCCACTCCGGAGATGTGCTCCGCTCAGATCGATAGGAGGTTCCGCTCCACCCAGCTTCCCAGACGCTTTGCCTCGTCGCGTAGAGCCATGGAATGAGTGCCTCCCTGCTTGTTTACGTGGACTTTTGCCGCCACGTTGTCCATCAGAACCAAGATGTGATTCCCGGTGACCATCTGTTTGAACTGGCGAAGGGCTAGGTGGATTGCTCTGAGCTCCAGCCAGTTGATGTTCTTCCACAGGTCCGTCAATGTCCACCGGCCCTGGGCCAACTGGGACTGCAGGTGAGCCCCCCAGCCGAACAGGCTTGCATCCGTGGTGAGGACCAGCCTGTCCGGTTCCCTGAAAAGAGACCCTTTGGCCAGGGAGGGAGACCTCCATAAATGAAGGGAGAGAAGTACCTGAGGGGTCACTAGGACCTTGAAGCTTGCGTCGGTTGTCCCATTCCTCTGGTCAGGGAGGAGGAACCACTGCAGGTCTCTGGCGTGAAGGCGAGCCCAGAGGATGATCCCGATGCAAAATATGAACTTCCCGAGGAGCCTGGAGAAAAGAGCTATGGGAACAGATCGAATCCTGCTAATCTCCCGAACCAATTCAACGATGCTGTTCCTGCGCTCCTGGGATAGAAAAACCTTACCCTTCACTGAATCAATTATGGGACCTAGGTGCTGAAGCCTAGTGGAGGGGGTAAGGTGACTCTTCTCGAAGTTAATCGAGAACCCCAGCACAAGGATGTTGTCAAGGTAGCAGTGGAGACGAACCGGGAAGGAATGGAGGTGGGCCACAGCCGTGGTCATCACCTTGGTAAAGTTTCTGGGGGCAGAGGCCAACCCAAAGGGAAGTGCTCTGTACTGGTAATGAGCGCCCCGGTATGAGAACCTGAGGAACTTGCGGTGATCAGGGGCGATCATGATGTGGAGATAGGCCTCCATGAGGTCAATGGAGGCTAGGACCCCTTCCAAGATGGACTTGAGGGAAGCCATCTTAAATTTCCGGTAGACAATTCTAGAGTTCAAGAGTTTGAGATCTAGGATGGCCCTCCACCCCCACCCCCCGAATTCTTAGGGACTAGGAAAAGGTGAGAATAGAACCCTGACCCCTTTTCCCCCTCCGGAACTGGCTCGATGGCACTAATTTCCAGAAGGTGGAGAATAGCTTCGCGCATGAGGGCGCGCTTGACCGGGTTCTTGGAGGAGGGAAAAGTGCGGAATCTACTGGGGGGGGGGGACGGAACTCCAGATGGAGTCCCGATCTGATGGTCTGGAGGACCCAGGCATCCGTGGTGATGCCCTCCCAGCAGTCTGGGAAGAAAGAGAGGCGACCGCCGATGGGGTGATCTGATCCCGAATCACTTACCCCTGCGAAAGGAACTGCCGCCCCCTCTCGAAAGGGCCACTTGCCAGCCTGCTGGGCCCTATACCTATCCCTGGAGAACTGCCTGTCCCTCTGTCTGGAATACCTGGGAGCAGAGTACCTTTGTTGTTGGGTGTCCTGATCCAGTGGTCGGTAGGAGGTCGGTAGGAGGCTCTCCAGGAGTAAGGCGCCACCCGGTGGTCTTCCTCTTGTTTTTATTCTCGACAAGGATGGGGTACAATGAGGGTCCAAACAGCTTGTCGCCTGTATACTCCACCTCCGCCAGGTGCCACTTTGTCCGGAACTCGGCCTGCCAGTGACGAAGCCATAGGAGACATCTGGATGCCACTGAGGATGACAAGGTCCTGGAGGAATACTTTACCACATCCAGGGTAGCGTCTGCCGAGAACTGGGTTGCCGCCATCAATTTCATGATGTCCTATAGCAGCCTCACGTCTGATGCGTGTGTCCTGTCCCGGATCTGCTCCAACCATAAGAGGGTGGACCTGTTAAAGAAAGATGCGGCCGCCGCCACCTTGGTCACCCATGAGACAGCCTGGAAGGTCTTACGCATGTCCAGCTCCGGTCTCCTGTCCTCTGCCTTCAGGCAGCTAGAGATATCTCCTGTTACCATGGTGGAGGCGGAGGCCAAGGCTGCCACTGGGGTGTCCACGGCAGAAACCTGCAAGCCTTGAGTGAAAGATGCATTGAGGTTATAAAACCTGCGATCCTTATCCCTGGGGTGGGAAAGGAACCTGGCTTGGACCACTGGGACTTGAGGACCTCCAAGAACAGGTCTGGAGTGGGGATCTCCTCCTTCTCTACCTGGGGCCTGTGAAAGGGGCCCTGCTGCTTCTTCCCGCCACTAGTGCTAGGAGTGGTGGGGTTCTGGCTAGGAGCCCGAGGAGGATCCAGGTCTGCTGTGGCTTTGGCCTTGTGCAGCAGGGAACTGAATAAAGACTAGAAAAAAAAATTCCTGGTGAGTCACTGAATAGCTCCTGTTAGGCCGAAGACTGAGGTTAATCTGGGGAGTCACAAGGAGGAACAGAGGGAGTATCCTCAGATTTATCTCAGTCTCCAGGCAATTGAGCCGTAACAATACCCATTCAGTGACTCCTCCCACACCCCACACCGGAGACTGAACGTGTTTTCATCATGTCTCCTGACTGCCAGTTGGTGTTCATGGATGCCTTCTGCCAATCTTCTGCCTGTTTGTCCTGCAGGGGGGTTGTTGCAGTCCTTACAGTGTATGTAATGTGTTTTCTTCTGGGGCTGCTGGGTCTCTTGATTTGCTTAGGGTGTTTTGAAGGGCTTTAGT